GTCAGGTCAAGTTGACAATAAAAACTACCTAGTACATATGTCCAGAGACCCAGACTTGAGGAATCCCCCATTGTTCTCCCATTGAGTACGTTTTTCTATGCTTTTCTCTGTAACTAATTCCTTCTTCCACAACACAGATTTGTGGGTTTGGTTCCTTAGCCTCCCTCAGAGGTCTCGTCTGTAGTCATATTGTCTTGGAACTTTTCTTTCTTGCTATCTATATGAAACCATTCTTCAACTCTGTGGTCAGCCTCTGGGGGCCTTCCTTCAAACTGGTCTAGACAACAATAGTGCTCTCCTTTGGATTTTTAATTCAGTTGGCTGTTGCTTTTAGTTTTCCAGATCTCTCTCTCTCTCTCTCTCTCTCTCTCTCTCTCTCTCTCTCTCTCCCTCTCTCTCTCTTTTTGAGAATTCATCTCTTTGGCTGAATTTCTCTTAAAGGTGTAGCACTTCTTCTCCAGACTTTAAAAGACAGGGTCCCACTAGTAGCCAAGGCTGGTCTCAAGCTCACATCCTCTCTTCCTCAGCTCCCCAAGTTCTGGGACGACAGGTGGGCCCGACAGTGCTCAGATTGTCCATATCTTACATTGACTCCTCCATTCATCCATTGGTATCTGAATCCTCTCTTAGATCATTAATCATTTTAAAAGCTAGACTTTTGACTTCTTTGTCTGCTGTCTTAATACCTCAGCATCATTGGCTTCAGTTATGGAAGGGCTGTTTAGGGAGTCACGTCACATTTCATCACTCTCAGCTGGGATCTGGGCATCTGTTGAGATGGTTATCTGCTCTGATTTATTTGGGGATCTTTTTGGAATAATATTTTTATTTATTCCTTGAAATTTCCATATACATACAAAATATATATTGACCATATATGCCTACTAGAGCATTCTCATACCTCAGAGCTCCCCCACATATTTTTCTTACCAGTTCATCCTTAAACTGTGTGTGTGTGTGTGTGTGTGTGTGTGTGTGTGTGTGTTGTGTGTGTGTGCGTGCACGCACGCGTGCACCCATCCACTGGGGCACTGAGCCACCTACCAATAGCCAAACCGTCCAAAAGCATTGACTCCCGACCTCCACCCCAGTCATCAAGGGCCCATAGCTCCTTCACTAGCTGTGGGGGCTTTGTGTGTCCCTGCCCCATCCATACTGGCTTGAACTAGTAAAGGTATTGTGAAGGCAACCACCACCACTGCAGTTAGTTTATGTGTTCAGTAGCCACACTGTGTCCAGAAGACGCTTCATGGTGCTCCTCCTTTTGCTCTAACCCTTATATTCTTTTTTAAATATTTATTTATTTATTTATTTCATTGTTTATTTATTATGTATATTTAATATTCTGTCTGTGTGTATGTCTGCAGGCCAGAAGAGGGCACCAGACCTCATTACAGATAGTTGTGAGCCACCATGTGGTTGCTGGGAATTGAACTCAGCACCTTTGGAAGAGCAGGCAATGCTCTTAACCACTGAGCCATCTCTCCAGCCCCCTTATATTCTTTTTATTTTTATTTTTTATTAAGAATTTTTTGATACAATCTTTTCTTATTTTACATAGCTATCCTCATTCCTACTCCCTCCCCACCTCCTACTCCACCTTTCCCTCCACCTCACCCCTATCCACTCCTCAGAAAGGGTAAGGCTTTCCGTGGAGAGTCAACACAGTCTGATACTTCACCAAGACCCTGCTCCCTATATCTAGTCTGAGCAAGGTACCCTTCTAAAGAGTACGTGCTCCTAGACACCAGTTCAAGCACTAGGGATAAATCCTGGCCCACTGCCATTGGCCCTCCAGACTTCCCAAGCCTCACAACTGTCCCCACATTCAGTGGTCCTAATATGCAGGTTTGTCTGCTATCAGTCCAGAGTCAGTGAGCTCTCACTAGCTCAGGTCAGCTGCTTCTGTGGGTATCACCATCATGGTCTTGACCCTTTTGCTCATATTATCGCTCCTCCCTCTCTTGCGCTGGTCTTTGGTAGCTCGACCCAGGGCTTTGCTGTGGATCTCTGTATCTGCTTCCATCAGTTGCTGGTTGAAGGTTCTATGATGACAAAGTAGTCCTCATTCTGATTACGGGGGAAGGCCAGTTTAGGTGTCCTCTCCACTGTTGCTTAGGGTCTTAGCTGGGGTCATCCTTGTGGATTCCTGGGAATTTCCCTACTGCCATGTTTCTTGCTAGTCCTTTAATGGCTCCCTCAATCAAGATGTCTCTTTCCTTTCTCTCCCTCACTGTCCTCCCCCTGTTGCAGGGAGCAGCTTGTTGGTTCCCGGCTTCTCAGCCCCGAAATAATCACACAGAAACTGTATTAATTAAATCTCTGCTTGGCCCATTAGCGCTAGCTTCTTAGTGGCTAACTCTTATATTAATTTAACTCATTTCTGTTAATTTGTGTATTGCCACATGGCTGTGGCTTACCGGGTAAAATTTTCAGCGTCTGTCTCCAGTGGTTCCATGGCTTCTCTCTGACTCCACCCTTCTTTTCTCCCAGCATTCAGTTTAGTTTCCCCTGCCTAGCTAAGTTCTGCCCTGCTATAGGTCCAAAGCAGTGTCTTTATTCCTTAATGGTAATCACAACATACAGAAGGAAATTCCACATCATCACCCTTTCCTGAACCTCCCATTCCCTCATGTTCTCCTCCTACCTCCCTTTCTTCCTTCCCCTTCTATCCTCTATTTTTCCCTTCCCCAATTTTCTCAGGAGATCTTGTCTATTTCCCCTCCCCAGGGGAATCTATGTATGTTTCTCTTAGGGTTCTCTTTGTTACTTAGCTTCTCTGGGGTCATGGACTATACTCTCCCTTTTCTTTGCTTTATAGCTAGTATCCACCTATAAATGGGTACATACCATGCTCATCTGGGTCTGGGCTACTTCAGGATGGCTTTTTCTAGTTCCATCCATTTGCATGAAAATTTCAAGATGTCATTGTTTCTCCCCCCGCCCCCCCCCGCTGAGTAGTATTCCATTGTGTAAATGTACCCCATTTTCTTGATCCATTTTTCGGTTGAGGAACATCTAGGTTGTTTCTAGGTTCTGGATATTACAAATAATGCTGCTATGAACACAGTTGAGCAAATGCCCTTGTGGTATGAGTGTCCATCCTTTGGGTATATGCCCAGGAGTGGTTGGTATTGGTGGACCCTGAGGAAAACTAATTCGCAATTTTCTGAGAAACTGCCATACTGATTTCCAAAGTGGTTGTACAAGTTTGCATTCCCACCAGCAACAGAGGAGTGTTCCCCTTGCTCCACATCCTCTCCAGCATAAGTTGTCATTGGTGTTTTTGATCTTGGCCATTCTGACTGGTATAAGATGGTGTCTCAGAGTTGTTTTGATTTTCATTTCTCTGATAGCTAAGGATGTAGAACAATTCCATAAGTGTCTTTCAGTCATTTGCAATTCTTCTGCTGAGAATTCTCTGTTTAGGTCTGCACCCCATTTTTTGGATTATTTGGTAATTTGATGTCTAGTTTCTTGAGTTCTTTGTATATTATGGAGATCGGTCCTCATATTTGGGGGTCTTCTTAGTTGAGCAGCCTTTTCTCCAGGACCATTCGATGAGGAGCAAATCACTACAGCAACACTCTCTGTGGATGTGACTTTGGCTTGCCCTCCCCACTGGGGGAGGGTTGGAGCCACACTTGCTTCTCCCTGACCAGCCTCTCTTTTTTCCCCTACACCTTTCAGCTGCCTTGGTAATACTTCTGTGGCTTGAGGCTTTTCCTCTCTACTTGTCTTTGGATTGTAGTCTAGTCTGTCCTCTGCTGCTCATTCATGGAGTCACACAATAGAATCTTCTAATGTGCCATCTTGCCCTCGCAGCCTCCTGGAGGAGCAGCATGGGAATGCTGGCCATGAACTATCCCTTGTCTTCCTGCTCCTGCAAACCAGCTCGGGTGCATCTCTCACACTCTCTCTCCCCAGACTGTCTTCACATCCGCTCTTCCCTCTGCTTGCTTTCTTCTGTTAAAGTCGTCTCTTCCTTCAAACCAGAACTGAAGAGCCTCTTGCTCACTGCTCGCTTTCTGCCAACCTCGGTTTTCCCACACTGGTGTTATCTATGTGCGAGCGGCTCATCTATCTATAGCTATGTTATCTATGTAGTGTGGTGCTGTGCTGTGTCCGAAGCCCAGCCACGCTGCTCAGTCTTTGTATTCCTTAGTTTCATTTAACTGCCTCATCTAAAATGTGTGTAATAAAACTTACTAAAAAGGAGTGTGATGGGCCAGTGACCGGCTACCAAGCCTGACAGCTTGAATTTGATTTCAGAATCCATGTGGTCGAATGAGAGATTTGATGCCTGCATATTGTCTTCTGACCGCCGTACATGTGTCATAGCAAGCACATGCATACACACACAATGCACCTATAATATTTTTTGAAGAGCCCGAAAGATACATTACTTAGAAAGTGGCTAGCCTCTGTCTAGACACATAAAATACATCTGTCCCCTCAAGGAGCTAAGTGCCTTTTAAAAGTCTTTCATTAGTTTATCTACTTGTTATAGTACATGAACATGGAGGACAACTTTCAGTATTCTCCAAACACAGTGAGCTGCAGAGATCAAAGTCAGGCTGTTGGACTCAGGCGGCAGTTTGTGCTGCCATGGTGCCATCTTATATCAGTAGTTTCCCTTGGCTGACATGAGGTAGCAGCGGGCCTGCTGGCTCTCCATCCTCCCCAGCCTCTTTGACTCCTGGACCAGCGGTACATGATTAACTCCATGAAGAAAGACTTGGGTTTTTGCAAGTGATCCACTTCAACGAAGCTGGAGGCACCAGGGATTGATAGGAGCTTCAGCCTAGCCCCACGGGCCTCTTGATCTGCCTAGCAATAAATGCCCATCTGCGGTTGTATGTTGCATGAAAGACATGTGTGTAGTGGACTATCTCTATGGCTGTGCCATGATCTCTGTGTAGCTCCCCCTGCTCTGTGCATTTGCTCCGGAGCACATTGTCATGTGGCCACAGCAGCTTCAGCCGTTACTTCTTCACAGGACGTCATCCAAAGCAGAAGGCAAGAAGGACAGCGGCAAAGGGGGTTTTATTCCCACGTGAATCTGGAAGGGAAATTCTTACGCCTTGAAGTATTAAGGATGAAGAGTCATTACGTTCAAAAGCTGACACGACAAGGTAGAACTGACTTCTGAAGTCAAAAGTTCAAGTAATGGAACGCCGGGTCTCCTGGCACTGAGCATGCGTAGAGTCCATGGTACGCGGAGTCTCAGTGTGTTTCACCACCTCAGGTCCGCTGTGGTCTCAGCGGTGGCGACTTTTGCAGCACCTGCTTCTTTCCCAGCAGTAGGTACTGGGTATTTGATGCTATGTTGTAGGGTGATTACCAACACCATGTGCTTCTCTGCTCTACACCCAAGCACCCCTTTTCCCTTCCATGCTGTCAACAAAATCTACAAATTTCCTCCACCGGGCCCTAACGGCTAACCTAAGAACCACTACGTTAGAAAAGAGCAGACTCCACATTTGGGACACTTCTGGTTCTGAGCAGGCAGGTGACCCAGGAAGGTCCCAAGAACAGGATGGTGAAGACAAGAGGTTAGTCTAGGAATTTAGGAGACCATGGTGACTTGGTGGCCTGGGAAGTTTTGCTACCAGCGGAAGGCCACAGTGCTAGAGGTGGGGTGAAGACAGTGTCCACTAGGCTGATGAACTCAACCCCTTAGGTGTCACCTTTGGGCCCCACCCTCCCGAACTGAGGAGCGCTGTGGTTGGAGTGGGGGGGAATTCCTGTGGCCCCTACAGGTGAAGAAAGGCGTTGCAGGAAAGGATTTGTCGTATCTGCACACAATGCATCTTGATCATATCCACCTGGTCACATGTCCAATCCCAACCTCACGACCTCCTTTAAAATGTGTTTATTATTTTTTAAACCACTGTATCCGCTTAGTGGCATAGATAATCTACTAATAGCCAGCCCCTCAAACAGAAAAAACCCTACTCCCCCTTCCTCAGCAGCCAGCGACTGCCATCCTCTGGTAGGGGTGGGGCCTCGGGAATCTCTTCCTCCCCACGCTGGATTTTTTTAACTGGCTTGGTCTTGCGCAGGTAACCAACCACAGTTGCTGTGAGTCTGTAGGCGTGCCGGCCTTGCCATGTTCAAACGACAGCAGCATCTCTTCAGCTCTTTCCTTCTTTCCTTCTGCCCCCTTTCCCTCCTGAGCCTAGGACCGGAGGCTGATACGGACGGACACGGACGGTAAGCGGGCACGTCGTCAAACTGTTTCCTAAATATTTGTGTTGATTTCCATAGACTGAAGCTCCTTTACCGCGATGTGCGGACACAGCGCTGTTCAGGGAACTGAGAATAACCGCTGTGACTTCCAGCCACCGCGGGGGAGGGAGGGGGAGGGGTTGGGATGAACACTTCATCCCAGTGCCATGGAGAGCCTGTCGCTGCAGCAGGAGCAGCAGTGAGACAGTGCTGAAAGGGGTAAGGAAAGGAAAGAGCAGCCGTGCTTGCCTTTGAGTAAAATTTCAGTACAACAGCGTGCTCAGGAGCCAGTCTATCCCTGTATGGCAGATCGCACAGAATTTGAGGTAGTTGTTCAAAGGCACCAAGGCCAGAGCCCCAAACAGGGAATTCCTCTCTGACGGGGCTCGCTGTCTCCTGGAAGTCCCTCCCGTTTCTGTATGGCCAGTTTGGTTTATTCCTTACATTTATTAGACAGGGTCTCCTGTATCCCAGGCTGGCCCCAAACTTGCTATGTAGCCAGAGATAACCTTGACACTTTGATCCTCCTGCACCCACCTTCTGAGTGTGGCGATTACAGCTCTGTGGCACCACACCTGGCTCTACACAGCGCCCTAGGGATAGACACTAGGGTTTCTTGTATGCTAGGCAAACACTCCACCAACTGAGCCACATCCCAGCCCCTAAACAGTTAACTGCATATGAACAAGAGACATCTTCTGGGACAACAGAAAGGAATTTTTGTTTGTTTGTTTATTTTGAGACGGGGTTTCTCTGTGTACCTCTGGCTCTCCTGAAACTCAGGCAGTAGACCAGGCTGGCCTTGAACTCACAGAGTTCTGCCTGCTTCTGCCTCCTGAGTGCTGGGATTAAAGTCCTGCACCATCACTGCCCCACTAGGATTTTTTTTTTAAAGTGGTGTTGTTCTCGGTCTCTGTCAGAGAAGCCTGGGTTTGCAGTGCAGCGATGGGAAAGCAGGGACTCTCCTAATCACTCAAGCATGTTGACAACTAAGCTCAGCACTCGGAAGGCAGAGGCAGGCGGATCTCTGAGAGTTCGAGACCAGCCTGGTCTAAGGATCGAGTTCCAGGACAGCCAGGGCTATGTAGTGAGCCCCTGTCTCAAACAGAGCACTGACGGAGACTGTTGACCTGGCTTTTGCAACTGTGTGTGCACACAGCAGCTGTGGTTACTTGCAGGAGACCTGCACACACAGAGAGACACTCAGAGAATAGAAAGGGAGTCCGTGGGAAGAAGGGGCCAGCAGGAGGGAGAGGAGTTCCAAGAGGGTAATGGGACTGGACCCTATGATAATACATTGTATACCCGTATGAAATTGTCAGACTTTAAAAATTAACAAAAAACCGTGACAAACCGAAAGGGTATCAGTCAAACCCAATCCATAACTTCCTTTGTAGGTAGTAGGGGGTTTCACATGTTTCATTTCTAAGTACTTATTTTGTTTTATTTAATTTCTTAAGAGTGGCTACCAAACACCAGACTGGATATGGTGGTGGTCGCCTTTAATCCCAGCACTTGGGAGGCAGTGGCAGGTGGATCTCTGTGAGTTCAAGGCCAGCTTTGTCTACGTAGAGAGTTCCAGAACACCCAGGGCTACATGGGTGAGACCCTGTCTCAAAAAAGAAAAAAAAAGTGGCTACCATCTAATACTATCTAATACTATTTAGCTAAAATAGCGTCAGTATTTCTCAAATTCAAACGCTTTCAGGGGCTGTGGCTGGAGAAGGCACTCAGGCCTGTATGGAGTCGTGGCCAAGTCTCACCTGCCCACTGTGCTCAGTGTCAGACAGAGCTGGGAGGAGGCTCAGCAGCTTCTCCAGTTTTCTCCAAGGTCGACTCCACCACCACCACCGCAGCAGCCCCAGATGAAGCTCACATGTAACTCTTGACCCTTACCTCAACAAAACGGGCTACACTGACATGGTATTGTTTTTGGAAAATAAAGCCAGCACTGTTTTCTCCCTCATGCAGCTCATGGGTCCATATTTTATTTTTCTGGCCGCATTTAAGATACTTCCCAGTAGTTACATGCCGTGAATGGCCACGAAGAAACGCGGAGGACTGCAGCCCACAAGCTGCCAGTTAATCTAATCACGAGGGGAGGGGCTTCGGGAAATGTCTGCTCACAGAGACAGACACCTGGAGGATTGTAGCCCCAGGCTTCTAGGACACACAGTTTTGAGAGGTTTTGTTTTGCTTTTTTGGTTTTTGTTTTCCCATATGTAGAGCAAAGGAAAGAATTCAGTGGTTGTCAACATGAGTTTAGCACAAAGGTAAGGCTTAAAACATAGGTTCATTCTGATGGAGCTTCAGGTCACATGAGCTTTGGGGAGACCTGTGCTATTTGTTATTTTGTATATTTGAAAGGAGTTCCTCAGACGTGAGGGAGGGAGTTGAAGTGGCAGGCACGCTGTCAGTGAAAGGGTGGCTACCTCAGGGGCTTTGCTGCCAGAGCCCCTTGGTCACCGTATGAAAGGGCAGCTTTGAATGTGCGGGCCCCAGTCAGGCTTGATTTTGCTCTGTGTTTGAGTCCTTGATTTCTACCAACCAAATAGAATACCTTGTCGAATAGAGCCCATTGAGCAGGGATGATGGGTTAAGAGTGGGGGTCCGAGGTGGCAGCGTGGGTGCTTGTTATCAAGCAGAGGTTGGCCCTTGTTCCTGCGGCCTGTGAAAGGAAGGACGCCAGAGTCTGATGGCTGGGGTAGCATTGATGTGGGGCAAGGGGGTAATCGGATTGAAAGGGAGCCATGGCATGTATGTCAGTTCACATCTCGTCAAAGGAATAATGCGAGGTGCTACCTAGCTGGGGCTTTGGCCTGAGGTTCAGTTAGCAAGCATCCAGGCCTCACTGGATTCAAATCTAAATTAATTCTCACAGCAGCATGGCTTGATTAGTCTATTTGCATAATAGTGGCAACTCCGCAGAGTGGTTACTCTCTGTTTTCTTCTTCTGGGATTTGGACAAACAAAGGTTTAAAATCATTTGAAAGAAGAGTGTGTGCCATCAGAGGGTAAAGCCCCTTGGTGATTCCCAGAGCTGTTCTCTGGATCCAGAAGGGCCGAAGTTGGAGAAAAGGCATGTCTATTCCAGCGTAACCCTGGGAGGCAGGGACGACAAGACCTTTTCCCTCCCAGGGTGTTCGTGGCCCGAGTTCTTGGCTCTCATAGTTCAGAAAGGGGTAGAGCATCCCTTAGGGAGGCATCCCTTTGGGTGCAGGCAATACTGGAGTTTCAGGAGCGCATGGCTCCCATTCTGAGGTACTTGGCTCTCTGGATGTTTGTGAAGAGAATGTCAGGTCTGTTGCCAGTCCGCCAAGAAATGAAATGGTTTAACTTTATAAAACTTACACTGCTGGAGACCTCAGTGGACTCAGTTCCCTTACTTAGCAAGAGCTTGCCTGGTTCTGCTGGGGTGGGATGTGGGCACTGTCCTCTGAGCCACACCACACCGCTGCCATCTCCCTGTGCCATCAGCCGTGCCTGCTTATGAGCGCCCCATCACTTCACTATCAGGACCATGGATTGTTGCCATTCTCTCCTAGGAGGAGGGGCTGGGAAGAGTCGTGGATCCTCACCTGGTACTTCAGCCATACCTCCCAGCCATACACACACACGCACACACCACACACACACACACACACACACACACACACACACACACACACACACAATCTGTCCTAATTGCGTACAACTTGGAGCCAAAGGAGGAGGTCCTAGAGTTTAATTCCAGAGAGCACTAGGGGAAGGGGTTATACTGCTATGGAGAGCTATGGTGTTATTGTATGGGTAAGGTGAGGTCCTGCGACTGAGGGTGCCCTTGGCAGTGCCTGCATTTCCTAGACGTTAGTGTGTCCTCAGGAAGGTGCTTAACAAGAAGAGAGCTTAATGACAGCACGTAGCAGAGGCCTCCTGCCAACAGCTCTCCGCTTGCCAAAGCCATTTTCTGTACAAACACTAGCAGGCTGTATTTTCCAGAGATGGCCCCACTGGTGTGTGTACATCCCACCCCACCTTCTCCCCCTTACCTCACCTGATTCTCCCCTGTGGAGAGGGGCAGTTCTCTGACCCCTCCCCTTGAGTCTGTGATGTTTTGATTGCTTTAGTCAAGGGGAAAATGGTGTTCTATGATTTCCTCCTCCTCTTCCCCTTTCTCCTCTTCTTTCGTCTCCTCCTCCTTCTACTCTTTCCCTCCTCTTCCCCCTTCTTCTCTTCCTCCTTCCCTTCCCTTCCTTCCTTCCTTCCTTCCTTCCTTCCTTCCTTCCTTCCTTTCTTTCTTTCTTTCTTTCTTTCTTTCTTTCTTTCTTTCGTTATTTTTGAAACGTGGTCTTCATAGGCAGACCAGACTGGCCTTGGACTTTTCCTGCCTTTGTTTCTATCATGCCGGACTAACCTGGTATGGTACCACCCTTATGCTATACTCTTCTTGTTTGTTTTTAAATTAGTATACAAAGTGATGAACGCAATTACAATGTTTTCATACATTTTTTTCTTCTTTGGAGGTGGGGTTGGTCTTCCTTCCCATACTATATTATTCTTACATCCTAGCCTCTGAAGTCACAAAGCATGGGCCCAGGCATGGTGACAGTTCTGGCGATCTAACTCTTAGGAAGGGCACATAGGAGGATTGTGAGTTCAAGGCTAACCTGGGCTGCATAGGGAGACTCTATTTTCTAAGAGAAAGTAAGCTTCAGTTTGGCACTCTGCTTAGCACAGGCAATCCTTCGTCTTCATCCCATCACCATGTTGTAAGAAAGCACAGAGACGCTCATTCTAAGGTCAGCACCTGATGCCAGACTATGGGAAGGGATAAGCTATCCAAGATTCTTTCACTGTCTGCCTTCCGAATTTGTTTGTTTGTTTACTTATTTATTTTTGAGACAGTTCCACTAGGTAGCCTTGGACAGCCTGGAACTCGTTCTGTAAACAGGCTGGTCTTGGACTCAGAGAGACCCACCTGCTTCTGCCTCCTGAGTGCTGGAGTTAGAGGCGTGCAGCACCACCACCTGCCCAGCCTTCTGCTGCCTTTCAACAGCTTTCCCTGCTGCCAAATGCAGCTGAGGTCACTGTCACTGGGAGCCCAGTCCAGGCTGTAGAGACACAGGGTTCTGGAGCAACTGTCACAGTACAGCTGTTCACACACTCTCACGGACCAGGACAGGTGTCATTGGCCACTCCCACTTTTCAAAAGACAGTCCTGAAGCTCATAGAGGCCAAGCTATTTCCCCAAGGCCACAGAGTGGGGGAGTAGTAAGCACCAAGCAGCTGGATAGCTGTGATTTGTCTTCCTTACACTGTTATGCCCCGAAACTTCTCCGCCAGGCTCAGAAGTAAGGGGTGCTCCTATTAGCTTGAGTCTGGGGGCTTGGGAGCCCCCCTTAGTGAGCAGGCTCTCTCAGTTTATCATATGATCTAGTGATCCACTCCATGAGGCAAGAAGGATAGCGCTTGAAACCATCCCTCGGGTCCCCTGGGTCCCACACACAGGCTTTGGCAGAAGCCATTCGCAGGCATTGAGAGACGGAGAGTTGGGAGGACAAAGAAGCCAGAGGAAGGTCCGTGTCTCCGGATCACAGCCCTGCGATGGTTCCAAAGGATTGCTCTACCGCCAGTTTCCTCATGCCCACACAGAGTCTGTGGAGCTCACTGTGTCTCGTCACAAAGGACTATGGGGAAAATCAACCGCCTCTTGACATCCGCCAAGTTATCATGAGTTAGAGGGAGACCTTGGTTTTTCTGCCTTAACCCTTGCCTGAGCGAGATAAGTCAATGAAGGGACTGACGAGGGCACACACCGCAGAAGATGCTCAATGATGCAGGGGTGCTCCACAGGCTCCAGAGGCTGCCATCACACAGCTCCAGGCAACCGAGTCCTGCTATCGCTCAACATCTCCTCTCTGTTCTTCTTCCATGTGGCGATCCAGCAGCATCTGGATCTCCCTCTCTGGTCCTCCCCTGCACTATTTCCAGCCTGCGATGACCCCTTTCTGCTGAAGGGCTTGCCAAGCTTTGTTTCCTCAGCCACCGAGAGCTGTTTTCTCAGAGAGGCCCTCCTGTCTTTACCAGGCTCGCTTGTACAGCTTTTGCATGGAAGGAACTCCTACTATTTGGACACACCCAGAGCAAATACACACGGACCCGTAACCTCCCAAACCTCTCATTTCCCAGGCCCATTATGAGAACTATGCAAGAAGGCGCTCGGGACAGATGGAGTGTGTTGCATCATTTAGTCCTAAGGCCACCCCATCACGTGGTATCTTTATCACCTCATTTTACATGCAATGGGACTGAACGGAAATAGTGAAGGACTTAGGTAAAGTGATAATGCCAGGTTCCAAATCCAGCGGTGCCCACTGCCAACATCTTTGCTCCTCTGCCATGCCACCCCAACTGTGGCTGACTGTCCATGAAAGGCTAGCTACACCAATACCGGGAGGGGCACCAGGAATATCCTTAGTAGGGCAATGTCCTCCAGAAGTCTTGGCACTGGAAATCAGATCCCCACCTGCTGTTGAGTTGCTGCAGTGCCCTGCGTACCTTTCAGCCTCTCCGATGCGATTAAGGAGAGCCGGTGGCTTCTGTTGTTGTGTAATTACCATGCCTTAGAGTAGACAGTCTTTTATTTCCAGACCCTAAAGTGTCTGGGATATTAGAGTTGGGCTGCACCTGGCCGCCCTTGGGGTCTTTGTCTCTTCTAGCAGACGAACCTGTTTGAAGTTTCGGTTCAGCTCATTCTGCACTCGTGGGGGTTCTGAACTCTGTGCTTCTTTGAAACAGGTCCCGCTGGGTCTGTCAGCTGTATGAGTCCAGTGGAAATGATCTTCTGGCACATAGCTATAGAAAGTCAAGTGGCAGAAGTAAGTGAACCCACCACTTCTACAAAGGGCTATGCGCAGAGTTGCCAGCGGTGTTTACGTAGGCATTGTGCGCCCAGATACACTTGGGTGGCAGTGAATCGAAGCCACTATAA